ATGTTGAATGTTTGTTTGTGATTTGTGCATATCGAGATCCTCGTGGGTTCCAACACAGCGAAATCATGGATGTGCATTACCGCATGATTGGACAGTAATCGAAATAAAGAAGAAGAAATTGATAACAAAATTCACATACTGTTGTTCTTCAAATATCGAATCAGAAAATGTAATTATGTACCTTCGTGTTATTCTTCAAATGTCAAATCTTAGAACGTCTTATTTCCGATCATATCTTCGTGAGTGTTTTCTTGTTTGCAGAAGATCGTTCGAAATGAAATATTGGATTAATTGTTTGTTTGTTTGAGATATATAATTATGTTTAGGTCATATGTTAATATTACAAAAGTTCAACACCTTTTAAGTAAATTTGTTTTTTTTAAGTAAGGGCATTTTCGTATTTGCATTAAGCTTTTTTCGATTTATTTTTTTATTTATTAAGAAAAGGACACATGGCGTTCATTTAAAAGGTACCTGTTGTTAGGTAAGTACAAGTCAAAGTACAAGGGTACCTGACTGTAGAAAAGCCCAACTAAGTATTATTCAAGTAATATTTTATGAATAAATCAATGAAGTTGTGTTTATTTGTGAAGGTATGATAAAAGTTCAAATGCATGCGTTTTTTTATGTACATGGTCGGGTCGGGCCGGGCGTAAGGTAATCGGGCGAAATTTAGGTAAACGGGTAAAAAAACCCGAACTAATTTGACCGGCAATACTTATTCGGGTAACCCGATTACCTGACGGGTACCCGATTACCCGACGGGTAAAACCCAACCCGAACCCGGTGATGAGTAATCGGGTAGCGGATCGGGTACGGGTACAGTTTTTAACTGGCGGGTCGGGTACGGGTATGCCAAAACCCGCACCCAACCCGACCCGTTTACATCCCTAGAAATAAGAGTAAAACCATAGTTCACTCATCACTTTTAAATAATTGATTATTCAAGAATCGTGCGTTGAAGTTTCTTTGCCATCGACGAGCTCGGAGAAATATTGAAAACTTTGACGCGCAAATTCAATTGTCCAAAATTGATGGGTGAACGATTGTTTTGTTCAACATTCTCACCAATTATGAAATTTGTGTTTGTATTTATTGTTAGTTTTAGCTTCAATATAAGCACTGCATTTTACCATTTTGTTCAGCATTTTTTTTCAAGAGAAAAGTCGATTTTCGACGCATCAGTTGTTAAAAATTGATATTTTTCTTATATAGTTTCTATAAGTAATGTAATTTCTAATTATGGCACCTCAATGTATAAACCATCCAATTTACATATTTTTATAAATATATATTCAGAAATTGTTTTATTAATTGTTTTATTAGAACAGACGAAAAAAACAGTTTGCTTCTTGGACATTCCAATATTTGTCAATTTCCGGTAATACCCCTCACTCGCCGGCACCGGAGTTTATATATAAGGAATCAGAGAACTGAGTCGGTGAAAATAGCAGGAAATTATGTTACCATTTCACAGATTATCACGGCGCTACCTCCGTCTCCGCCTACCCTTCCTCCGCCGCGCCTCTTCCTCCTCCCCTGGAAACTCAGATATTCCCTCCGAAACCCTCGCTATTCACAAAAATTCTCAGCATGCCCCTCTCCCGCCCGCCCTCCACCACCATCCTGTGCCTCTCACCTCCTTCCCCCTGTCGAAGACCTCCTTAATCGCCGCCTTGTCTGCCGCCTCCGCCACCGTCCTCGGCGCCTACACCCTCGCGCAGTCCGAGGATTCTCAGCACCGCGCCAAGCTGGCGTCGATTTATTCGGAGGTGGATGTCGCTATCGAGAGATCCAACGAATCGGTTAACAGAATTCTCAACAGGATGAGGCAGACGGGTATGGCGGCATCCGTCTTGTGGCAGTCGTTGAGGTCGGTACTCTCGTCGGCAAACCACGAGGTCAGGGCGGGGTTCGAGCTGAGGGTTGCTGCGCTGCTGGCTGACATTGTGGCGGCCAGCGACAGCCGTAGAGCGGCGATTGTCAGTGCGGGTGGTGGTGCGGTGGTTGATTGGTTGTTGGAAACTGTTGCGGTGCCCAAGGATGGTAATGGCACCCAGGCCGAGTCTGCTAGGGCGCTGGCGTACTTAATTGCGGATCCCAATGTGTGCGAGGTGGTTTTCGGCAGGCCCCAAGCCGTGCCTAATTTGTTGAGGTTCATTTTCTCAGCTCAACCTAAGCGGTCAAAGAAAGTGAGCATATTTTGTTTCAATTTCTATCTAGTATCCTAGTCTGTTTGAGTGCCTGCTGGTTGATCCTATGAACGGTAATGGTTCTAATTATTGCATGTAGGATGTTGTTTTAAGTGGCTAGCAGTGTCACATTTTTCACTGCTGTGTCTTGACATTGGGATAAATTGATCGTTTATGATTGATCTACATAATGCTGATTTCTGTTAACATTTGAAAGCTTTTATGGTACAATTTGTGAATTTCAAAATGAAGAAGGCCACTAATTTAGTGTTTTTTTTTT